TGAAAAATGGGCTTTTGGCTCATCATGTCCACTGGTCATCAAGCACCTATCTATTCTAATCCACTTTTCCAGTGCTTGGTCGGTAGTCTGTTTGCTATGGCATTTCAGGTGCTCATGTAAATGGATCTTTAATATCTTGAAAGTTTCTGCCTCTGCCACTCCTTTTAGGCAGTGAGTTCCAGATACCCACAACCCTCTGGATGAAAGATGTCTTCCGCAAATTCTCAATAAACCTCCAGCTCATTGCTTAAAACTGTGACCCCTGGTTATTGACTATTCTACTAAGTGAAAGGTTGCTCCCTATCTACCCTGTGTCTGCCCGTCAGAACTTTGTACATCTCAGTCAGAGCCCCTGTTAGCCTTCTCTGCTCTAAGGAAAGCAAACTCAACCTATCTACTCTCTCTTCATAGCTGAATCACTCCACCACAGGTGACATCCTGATGAATCTCTTCTGCACTCTCTCTAATGTAATCATATCCTTCCTATAGTGTGGTGTCCAGAACTGCACAAAGCACTGCAGGTGTGGCCTAACTAACCTTATATACAGGTACATAATAACCTCTTTAAGTCTTGTATTCAATGCCACTGATTAATAACAGCAAGCTTGACCGATATTCTGAAGAAATCCTTTACAATGAGCAATCTGAGAAAAAAAAACCTACAGAATGTTACATGAATAATCTTTCTTATTGGTACGATGCACATTCATCAAAGGTGTTGCTGAGAACAGGCATGGAAACTACTGGAAAACATTCTGAGGGACAAATTAATCTCCATTTGGAGGAGCAAGGATTAATCGAGGATAGTCAGCATTGTTTTGTCAGGGCAAGATCATGACTAGCAAATTTGACTGAATTTTTTGAGGAGATGATTAGGTGTTAAAGAGAGCAGTGCAGGTGATGTGGTCTAAATGGACTTCAGTCACACTTGTGATAAGTTCTCACATGGAAGACTGGTGAAGAAGCTAACAGCCCATGGATCCAGAGCAATCTGGCAAATTGGATCCAAAATTGGCTTAGTGGCAAGTAATCAGAGGATCATGGTCTTTTTGACTGGAGGCCTGTGTCCAGTGGCATACCACAGGGTTCAATGCTTGGTTTCTTGCTGTCTGTAATGTAAATTAATGATCTAGACATCAATGTAGGATGTATGATTTGTAAGTCTGAAGATGACATGAAAATTGGGAGTGTGGTAAATAGTGAGGAGGAAAGCTTTAGACTACAGGATGATATTGATAGGTTGGCTGAATAATGGCAAATAAAATTTAATCCTGAAAAGTATAAGGTGATGTACTTTGGGAGCACTCACAAGGCAAGGGAGTACATGTTGAATGACAGGATCCTAGGAAGTGCAGAAAATCACAGGGATCTTGGTCTGCATGTCCATTGATTCTTGAAGGCAACAAGATAGGTAGATAAGCTGGTTAAGAAGGCATATGCTTTTATTAGTCAAGGCGTTGAATACAACAGTATACAGCTAGAGCACTGTGTGCAGTTTGGTCATCACGTTACAGAAATGTTGGGACTAAACAAGACACAGCAGAGAACATTAACCAGATGTTGCCTGGGCTGGGGCGATTTAGCAATGAAGAGAGACTAAATAGGCTAGGTTGTTTCCTTTAAAGAAAGAAGGCAACACTGAAGATGTTGTGATGATGGTGATTTTACACAGGATCCCGAATGTTTTGACACAAGAGGAGGTGAAGTCAGAATTGATGACAAAAAAGACAGAAAGTGAACCAGTACCTGAAACCTGAGTGGTCTCGCGAAGTAGAAGAACAACGTGTGAATGACTTGCATTGATTAAAGGAAACTGTATTGCAAACAGAACTTGAGCAGTTATCCCCAAATCACTACAACATATTGTATTGCAATTTGCCTATGAAAGGGCATTCAGGTGTTGTTAAGATAAAAATATTCCCTGAAAGTTAGCCAGTCAATATATTACTAGTCAGTAGAATTAATTAAAAACAGCATAGTACTGAAGAAACTCGGCACCATCTAGGACAAAGCAACATGGTTAGTGGGATCCCATCCATCACTTTCAACATTTACTCTATCACTACTAATACATGGGGTCATATTGCATACCATCTGCAAAATACAGCATCTTTCCTGTGTTCATTTGAAAGCACCTTCCAAATTCAAGACCTCTATCACCGAGACAAACAAGGGAAGCAGATGGATGTCAACACTATGACTTGAAAGTTCCCCTGTAGTCTACACACCAGTATCCTTGGAACTATATCACCATTCCTTCACTGTCAGTGTGTAAAAGTTCTGGAATGCCATCCCTAGTAATACTATGGGTGCACCTCCAGCCAAGTAAGGATGGGCAATAAATGTAGTCAGTGGTGCCCATAAACTAATGGTTATCATTTGTCTCTCAATTCCAGATTTACATTGAATTCAAATTCCACCATCTGCTGTGGATTTGAACCTGGGTCCCCAGAACATTATCTGGGTCTCTAGATTAATAGTCTAGCGATAATTCTACTTGGCCATAAATGAACAGCTATATGTTGTACAAAATATACGTTAAAGTCTGGCAGGGACTAAAGCAAGACAATTCTACCACTGAGCAGTTTTCAATGTTTTCTAAAGATGGAGAAGGAAGGAGTTATTTAATTGGGCAGGAGGGCATCAGGTAGGGGTCTACCACCACTGCCCAATTAAGTTTGGGATAAAAACTCTTGTTTACAGCTTTCTTGCCCCATCCACAATATTGAAACACTCATGTAGACAATTTATGCTTCCTGAAGACCCTCATTCTGCTTCTGCTGGCATTCACAGTGCTGGAGGTGTAGTCGCCACATTTGGATCCAAAACATAAGCCATGTCGATGATTAAGGGACTCAGAATTGGGAAAGGAGGTTGGGGGATGTGACACCAACACCCAAACCTTTCTTCTGATGCCTGCCATCCCTTGCCCCTCAACTAGCAACATCCTCGTTGTACCTGCATGCCACTTTAACTCACCTTATGGCATCTGGCCCTCTAGTGGACACTTTCCTAGCAACTAGCATTGCTCCCCCAGTGACGCTCATGGATCTTTGCCTCTGGGGTTGGTATTCATGTGTAGGCCCGTGGGGCACCAAGAGAGATCACTGCCTTCTTTTTTGGGAGATACAGAAGACTTTGCTGAATTGTCCAACTGTATTTAACCAGTGCCCTTTTACACTTATCCTGTCAGATTCCTGTAGTTTTGAAGGCTCTTTTTTTTTGAGGATTACAGTTTTGAAAGATTGTGGGAAAACAAAACTTATTTCAAGCTCTGGAATGATACTTGGATTGTTTTATCCATTTTACAAATGGTCAATCAAATTAACAAGACTTTACTGGGAAATTACATGTCTCCAACTTGAATTCACTTCTCAGAAAGCACTTTCCTGGCTTTTGTAACTGTTCTGTTTGAATATTATTTTGGTTTCCAACTGGCAGTTGGTGCCTAGCCTGCTGAAGAAAAGAAGCTTTCAAGCTCATCTCCTTCCTGTTTCTGAAAAAAAAAATCCTTGTTCATACTGTTTTCCAGCTGGCACACTGATTCAGGTGTTCTCATGAAGACCATCAGAGGAAATTTTCCTTGCCATTTCCTGAACATACAGTGACAACTGCCTGTGTTCCATTATATCTGTCTTAATTCATCAGGATATGGTTGGAATGGAAACTTGGACATCTCAAATCTGATCCCTTTTGCCTTCTAAACAAACAATTATCGCCCAAAAGTGTTTCTTTTTCTTCTAAAGTAAATCTCTGTAGAAAATTATTTTTTGTTTTTGTTTACTTGGTTTATGTATGTGTTGTGAGTGTATTTCAGGTTATTTACAGGGGTAAACATTTATATTTTCACATCACAAATCAATAATTGTGTTTATTAAAGACATTTGATTGATGGATCTTTTTACTTTAAGACTGAAATAAAGAAATTATATGATTGGGAATATCAGATACTGGGTTAAACAATTAAATTTATAGCGGGACTAGCGAAAGATAGTGCATTCCTCCCATCTCAATCATCACAGGCACCCTAATTAACTGGTAGAGCTCTGTCAGCTTACAGTATAAGGCAGCAGTGAGGAGAGCAGATGGGGACTGGGTCACTGGGGATTCTTGTTTGCAATAGGGTTAGAGTTAGGGAGAGGTTCTGATGTTATTTGAGGGGAAACAGAAAATGCAGTGCATGGGGGGTGTGGAAAGGGTGGTAGTGATAAGTCAGGGTAGAGGTTACAGGATCGTTTGTCCAAATCCTATTGCTTCTGTCCCACAACTAATGTCAGCAAGCAATTCCTGTCTGAATTCATCCATTCTTGTCTTTTTTAAGCCTAAAATTCCTAAGGTCTGGAAAATCCAAATGACTTACACAAAAAAATGGAATGAATGTTAAAATGATGGCTGACAGCCTATTATGATATTCAAATGATCAACTTGCCTCTCATAAGTGGATTATTGACTTGTCATTTGTTGTACCTTTGTTAAAACTATATATGGGAATTTGAGATGGATTAGATTTCTGTTTCAGATTTTTTTAATATTTGAACTTGAAGTCTTTCCTTTTCCTAAGCCTTGTGAATATCTCATTCAATTGCAAGTTCTAAGTTGATCCACAAGAAGTTCCTGATCCGTGCACAAATAGATCAAATGTTCTTAACGGGTTCTTCAGTTAAGCATTGGAAAATCATACTTTTACTTCTCACTTTGGTAAATTATTGGATCCTGATTCACTAACTTAACTTTCACTTCCAAATTAAATGAGTTTGTAGTACAGTGGGAAAAGTTAAGCCCTCACTTTACCGCAATATTAATAGAACAGGTGGGCATTAGGAACTTGTGGAATGATGCTGTATATAATCAATACAAGATAATTTATAGATAACACTCTACAGTACATCCAACCAGCTTCTACTTTTATATTTAGACATAAATGTAGAGACATGATTGGTATTAACTGGATGCATGCAAAGTAAACTAAACAGTGATACTCTTCCTCTGGTATTACTTACGTGGTACACAAGAGCCAAATTTGTCTGGGAATTCTGATATCAGATCATCATTAACTCGGTCTTTCATTGGACCCAGAATAATGACAGGTCTACTGTAATTAACTGAAAAACAAAATGAAATGATTTACTTTACAAAATAAATATAATACTACTTTTAATGACACACTATCTTTAAGAAGTTACATCTCAAAAGTTAGAAATTAATTTGTGAAGTGCAAACTTTTGTAACTATGCTGGATGTCATATTTATTGCTGTTTCCACTTGTGAGGACAGTTATGCATGACGTATTGATTTGTGAATTTTGATCCATTCATTTTGATATGTAGTTATCACAGACATTAACAGTCATTGTGTTATTACATTTCTATGTAACATAGGGCACAATATTACACAATGCTACTGGATTCAGTATCCTAAAGGCTTTCCCAATATCAGCTTGCTGGCTAGTTCCCAAGTAGGAACGGAATCATTCACAATACCTGTGTTGGAGTCACATAACTGTGAAGGCATATTTATGACCAAGAGAGCATCAGAATTAAATGAAATGACTAACTCTGCCCAACTGTTGCAAGATGAGAGGAAAAAAAGCAACATGGAAGGCCTGGAAAATCCTGGTCTGCCATCAGAAAAAATGTAATGAGGGCAAGGGGACCACTGGGACAGGGGTTTATTCAGCACCAGTTTCGGATCTGCTGGCAACTGGACAGCCAGATATGCAAGTCTCCCAGCTAGATATATAGGTTCAACTCCTGAAGTACTCCAGCTTTAAGGAAGCCCATTTCATTGGTTGAACAACAAGCTCTTTAAAATTTTACTCATTACTCATGCCAATTTGTTTTTTTGCCGGAGTTTCTCTACCTATCACAGCAAAGAGGCTGCTAGTACTTTATTGATTACAGAACTTCCAGTTGACCTTGGGTCAGAAACAGAGATTCCCCAGAATCTAATTCTAGCACTATAACATTCTATAACATTCAGGTTCTCAACATTCCTAGACTGACTGCAAGTTTCCTTGAATCTTTTGCAACCCAGAAGATAAGTGATTTAAATTCTTGTTACAGTTTACCCACATGAATAACAGATGAGGTAACTGTGCGGCACAGTAACTAATAACAGTCTGTTAGGTTTGCATCAGAAAATCAGCCAGATTAAACTGCATTTTAAAAAAAAAATCATTATGTTTGACATAAGGGCATCAATCTGAAATGCTGGTGGAATCTTCATGCCCCACCACTAATTAAGATCCTTAAGTGGTCAATTAATGATGGTTGGTATGTCCCTTCATTTGCACTAGTTCACAGTCATGGAAACGGACATAGGACAGAAGTGTGATTGTTAAGAGTCAGCTCCCTGCCCTTTCTTTCAATCCCAATGCCCCTTGTGCCCATGATGGCTATTTCTTGAGACTACCCCTAATTTCAGATTTCCAGCATCTAACACGTTTGCTTTGGAATCATTTTCCAGTTGGTAGCTGCCACTTGATACTGTCACTAGCAAAGAGCTGTAAATGGCCCCAGAGGGGAATTGGGGAGAAGGATCTCATTAAATCAGTTGATCAAAGACTTTTGGATGCAAAGTATTTACCTCTCCAGCACTAATCCTGAACACCATTTATCTGCTTTCTTGTTGTACCAGCTGTTGTGGATCTCACTACAGATTTTAGTTGCGAAAATAATCTTTTCTCTGACTAGAGCTCAACTGGCAGATTTGGGAAAGGAATAAATGCCAACAATCTGTAAAATTTAAAAACAACCTCTACCACATAAGCATATATAAAAATTACAATAAGGAATTAAGACATATGGAAAATGCTTAAAAAACAATTTGTAAATAAATTTCACATTCTAAGGAACCATTGTTGCTGTATTCTTAACTTCTGCATAGATAAAACTTGTGCCAAAAAAGCACTTTGATCATAATTATTGAGGATTGTACCAAATGTTGAAGATAACAAACATTAAATCCTGTTCAAAATAGGGAAGATAAGTCCATTAACTGTAAACAAGTTAGTCTAGTATCAGTTGTAATGAGGGGAATATCAGTGAGCACATTAATAAAGATAAGAGCTGATCAGGGAAAGCGAACATGAATTTGTAAGGCTGGTTTACACTTACTGATTTCATTCGACTTTAAGTGTACGTGTGTGCAATTTGCAGTGGATATACAAAATCTGGATTTTGAGTAAAGGTTGATGAACAGCTACTTTGTACAGAATCAAAATAAGGAGAAAGAATTTTAATGTGAAGCTCTAAATGAAGTGGAGGACATGAATCATTCAGCAACTCAAACACATCATTATTTAAAAGTAGGTTTCATAGAAAAAGTCCTAAAAAATAATTCTCGATCTTTTACACAAGGAATTGAGTAAAACAGAAAGGAAATAAGATGTTGAACTTTAAAAAAGTTGAAATCACGTGCTCTTATTAAGCATTTTGAGTTAATTTTGCTTTTCTTCAGTTCTCCTAAAATTAGTAACAATTTTATTACTTGTTTGTTAACTTTACTGTGTGTAGCTATAGACATCTTAATATAGAAAGATATTTAGAGTCATATAAAAAGATGTAGCTTGGAATTGGTAAAATGAATTATCTGTAGAGATATGATGTCAAACTTTAAAACTATTTAATGGAGTACAGAAGGTTAGGTGGAGGGGCCTAATACGAGTGTTCAAAGCTTTGAAAGAGTTTCAAAGAACAAATAGTGAAACATTACAAGTTTCACCAGTCAGCAAATTGGCAACAGGGAGCATAAACTTGGTATTAATATGAAAATATTCCTTGGAAAACATTCTTGAATTTGAAATACATTATCACAATGAGTAATTGAAATAGGCAATCATGTTACTTCAGAGACAACCAAAAGAATGAGAAGATGAAAAATACAGTCATCAGGTCTCTTCCATCAGTCTTTTTAATTGTTAAACCAGAAACATAAAGAATCTTGCACATGTTGTCATCCCAGATCATAGTCAAACTTTTTTCAAATATGACTGGAAATGATGGGAGGAATTTTCTACTCTTGAACAGCATGGGCAAAGACAAGAAGTGGGATAAAATATGAGGAAAAGAAGATCAGAATCTCAACAATGAGAACCAAGGATTCTGATTTTCTCCAAGGTTTAAACAGTGAATTCAGAATCTTGCTAATTAGTGGTGATTACCTTAATTTTATGTATCCATTCTGTCTCATTAATAGGCCAAAGCACCACATCTCTATGCAGCTTTGAATTCTCCTCTCCTCCCTGAGAAACTAGATGGTGCCAAATCTGACATGACATTCAGAGCAGTATGTACATCATACTTCTCCATCCTTCATCTACACAAGGTGGCAATGGCAAACCACTAGTTCACTACATCATCATGCCTGCTCTCAGTCCAACTCTTACACCACTTCAGCCATTCATGATTTCAGTTTGGAGCTCAGAAACATCTATGACTTACATCTTCTTTGCATGCAGGGAAGTGCATGCATCTCATACATTTATACAGGATGCATCTTATGGCTTTTAGCTTCATTTCCTAGCAGTCACTCACTTTGCACTGGGGGTAGGCCACGGCTTTGGATGCTAATAGTCAGATGGCTTATCATGGGGCAGTCCATGGAGTCCAGAGAAAGTGAGAAACTGAAGTCTGGCGATGGTTTTCATTGGACTGATTTGTGAGGGCATGATGACAGTGAAAAGGTGAAATTCAAGATTAAAGGACAGGAGATCACAGAAGGGAACAGGCACTCTGTGAGAACAGGTTTTCACAAGGCTCTCGGGGTAAATTGTAGATAAAGAGACTGAATGGAAATGAGGGAGGCTGAAAAGTCATCAGAGACACCAACAGCAATGCAGAAGCAAACATGAAATATAGGGAGGATCATCCTAGTCTCAGGTTTGAACTTGGAATTCACTCATAAGAACAAAGAGATGAAACCATGCCATCTTCAATGCAAAATCAACTGCACAATAACAATATAAAATGGCTGCTACCAAATGCAGAGCGGCGGAGTAAAATGTTGCTTTCTGTTCAGGGATGGAGTAAAATTCCTTAATGTTGAGGTTCTGCTATGGACAAATGCATTAATCATGCATTCACTAATTCAGTAATGCCACAAAGTTCTGGCATAAAATTGATAACAAGTCATAACTGGTCATTCATTGTCCAAAAATTATGGTCTCAAGCAGTCGAGATCATTACATTGCTTGGCTCCTTGTCATGTCAACTAAGCAATTGCAATCAGATGCTAACTTAAGATTATTACCTTGGCTTGGCATTTCTGAAACGTATTCATAGCAAACACTGGACAAAATGCTTCAGTGGTGACACACTTGCTAACAGAACTGTCGGTGATGTTCAGGGGTAGCTTTTTTTGGGAGTGGTGTGTATTTATTTCCCTGTGAGGTCTCTATGGCACGTTGCGTCAGGGTAAAAAATGCTACTTCATTATGGTTGGTATGAGGGCTCAGGAGTACAAACATGAAATAGTTTTCACTTTCTAACATTTCCCACAGATTATCTGTTCACAAATTTGACATGGACTTTGCCTTGTAGCATTGTTTCAAATGTGAAGACAATGTCGACGGCAAGAACAATTTCAACTTCATCAGCAGGCACTGCAAGGATACCATTCTCCTTTGTCTGCTGTATAGCTTCCAGAGGTAGAAGCAGCAAATGAAGATCCTACAGGAAGGCAGACGCAAATGAGGAGGCCCAGAAACATTTTGTAAAGCTCTTTGGAAACACAGTGCAGGCACAGATTAAGGATGTTTTGTCTATCGTCACTGAACTGTGTCAACAGCCGGGGCAGGAATTGCACTCAGAAGGATTGAGTAGCCATCAAGGTTTCAGTTTTTATGCCAGTAGTTTATTTCAAGAAGAAACTGGGAAATTGTATGACATTTCCCAATCCTCAAGTCATTAATGCAGCTGAAATGTTACTGATGCCATTTCCTCCAAGTTACACCTGACTATATCCTCCCTCGAGCAGTGTGATTCTTCAATACCGCTGCAGGGCACTATCAACTGCACCCTTGTTGCTTTGAGAGTTCCCACTCACCAACCTGTAGAGGTTGTCAACAGAAAAAGCTACACCCCAATATTCAGATTATTTGTGACCAACAATGCCAGATTTCAGAGCTCTGCAGCAGATATCCTATGAGCTGCCATGATCCGTACACATTAGAAAACTGCATCCTTCCAAGAACCTTGTGCATTACAGGGTTGGCTGCTGGGAGTTAAAGACTAGACTCTCTCGTGGCTCATGGCACCTTTTCAAAACCCTTAGTCTGACACAAAACAAAGATATAATGCTGCTTATGCTACCAGTACGGCCACAATAGAACAGACCATAGGCCTCCTTATCAATGAGGTATCTACATGGGCCTTAACGTAAATTCTGAAAAGGGTGTGCTGCATCATTGGAGGCATGCTGAGCCCTGAATCAACAAAGGAGAATATTCTAAATACAGAGGAAATGGGGGATTAACACCAATCTTCTGAAGATGTAAATAAGAATGAGGATCAGGACATTGACTAGGAAAGACATCCAAGAAACATGATTGAGCAAAGTATTGTTCACAGTGAGAAGCCACTGCTTTTTCCAGAGAGTGACCAGGCAAACAGCCCATTGTATCACTTCCCAGCCTTGAATGGCAGTGCACACCATTGGAAAGCTAATAGAATGAACCTTATCCGGTGGAATCAACTGATTCTGTACCTGGTGGTGTAGGTGTGGAAGATGGATGGAGGACTGGCTCAAGCACAATCCTTGCAAACTGATTTCAGCTTCAGTTTTGTCCATATTCAAAGTGCATTGCCTTGGCTGATGTAGTCAACATCAAGGTTTAGCTGTCTGTGATGACTCATGAATGCTATCTGCAGTCATAGAACTAGCAACTTGTGAGAGATGAGAAATGCTTGGTTATTACAACCTCTTTTATCCTTGGGATGTTGGAGGAGGTTATTCATCTCTTATATGGGTGTAACTTAGGTCAGGCTCAGGTCTGACAGCCACAAAGACACTAGAGCAGACATTTTAAGTGTGCAAGAGAATATATGTGCGGAAGTGGAATTTTCTGGCTGGGGCAGCATTTATCGCCCATTCCATTGCCCTTTGAGAAGGTTGTGACGAGTTGTTTTCTTGAACTGCTGCAGTCCATATAATGTAGCTAGACCCATAATGCTGTTAGGAGGTAGTTTCAGGATTTTGACCCAAAGACAGTGAAAGAATGTTGATTTATTTCCAAGTCAGGATGATGAGTGTCTTGGAGAAGAACATTCAGAGGATGGCTTCCTAAGTACCTGCTGCTTTTGTTCTTCTAGATGGTAGTTTGGAAGGTGCTATCTAAGGAATCTTGATGACTTTCTGTAGTGCATCTTATAGATCATACACACCGCTGCTTCTGTGCATTTGTGATGGAGGGAATGAATGTTTGTGGAAACGATGCCAATCTAGCTGGCTGCTTTGTCCTGGATAGTGTCATGCATCTTGAGTGTTGCTGGAGCTGCAATTATCTAGGCAAATGGGGAGTATTCCATCACACTCCTGACCTGTGCCTTGTAGATGATGGACAGACTTTGGGGAGTGAGGAGCTGAGTTACATGCAACAGGATTCCAGGCCTCTGAATTGCTTTTTGGGGCCTCTATAATGATATGGCAATTTCTGGTGAATGGTAACCCCCAGTATATTTATAGTGTATACTTTATAACATATATAGATAATTTACAATGCTGTTTCACCTGTGCCACCTATACACCCTCAGTAAACTTGTTCTTCTGACTTCTGCACTTGGGCTGGAGGGAGCCTGATCTACAGTTAGTCCCAAAATAAATCAAAGAATTGTGGATGCTGTGTTCTGAAGAAAGGTCACGGGAACTGAAATGTTAACTCTGCATTCTTTCCACAGATGCTGTCAGACCTGCTAAGATTTTCTAACAATTTATGTTTTTGTTATGTTTATCCCTACTGGCCTGGAAGACTTGGTAGTCAATCCTGTGGACAACTGGGCCTAGAGAGCCCAGTCCTGTCCAGGTGCAGATCCATTCCCCTCAACTTGGAGCTTTACATACTTTGGCTTCAGAGATAGGGGTGAGGTGGAGTGGTGAACACCTCTGGAGGAAGCTTTTGTACGTTCTTAATGTGGTTCCTTCTCCTTATGGATATCTGCTGGCCAAGAGTGACATTGAGATCCTTCATTCCCTCAGCTTGCCATTGGTGCTGAGCACCTGTATACTACTGTGATGGAGCGCAGGTCCATGCATTTTTCTAGCAGTTACCGAGTGTGCTGGGTCTGGATTTCCATGGCAATCACAAATTCCTCTACAGAGACAGCCAGATGCATGTTGCCTGAACCAGCTTTGTACCAATGGACAAAATTCCATTCTTTGTTTCACCTTATTGACTTCTCTGACAAACCTGCCTGGCTGTACTTTTTGATAAAGTCATTGATGGCCGAGACCATGGGGATTTCCCCTGGTTGGGACTGAGTAGGTGCCTGGTCTCCAGCAGTCCTCTTGAGTGTCAGAACCTGGGGTGTTTTTTCCATGAATGGCTGCAGAGATGGATCGATGATGTGCTCTACAGATTTTCCTCCCAAGACTAATCTAGATACAGAACCATCAAAGTGAAAGTCTCTGATCTGGTGGAGGCTGCAGCTGTATGCCTTGCCATCGTACCCTCTGAGGGGTCAGTGGCTTCCTCCTTGGCACTGGAAGTGGAGCTGAGGGTCTCCAGTGTCAGTTTCTTTAGAATGAAAGTTTGCTGGGTGCTGTTAGTGTCTGCATAAAGGAAAAAGAGGGAACTATTTTGGAAATACATCAAAAACTTATGCAGGTTAAGAATGAGTTAGTGTTGGTGGTAATTAGACAGCAGCACGATGAAGCTTACTGTGTTGATTGCCCATGAACATCACCATGTCATCACTTGAGGGTTTGCGGTCTGCTTCACCTAAATCCAAAACCTTTTCCTCATATACTGTGAGGGGTTTTATGTTTGCTTCCCACCTCACCCTTGACCCTTCATCCAGCTGTGACAAATGGAGGGATTAAGTATGACGGAAATGGTTGGAGGAGTTTGTGATGATGCATGAGAGGACAGGTGGTAAGGTATCCTGTGTGAGTAAGTAGAAACACAGAGGGCAGAAAAGGTTTATAATGCGGGAGGATGAGGTGGGTGAGAGCCATTGAAAGGACATGATATCTTCAAGAGTGATAGTCATAGTTCATGAACCTTGGTGAGAGGTGATTGCAAAGCAGAGTTAGAGTGAGGGCTGGCCCTGGGAGAGTAAGGTAGCACAGAGAAGTTGGCTGCACTTACCCTTGCAGAGTGCAGAAGATCATTCATCTTCTTCCTGCATTGTGTTTCAACTGGAAGACTTCATCAGTGAATTGAGGAGCCACCATGAAGTTCTGGGCCATTTTGTTGAGAAAAACAGCACAGTTCCACAGTGTGAAGGGCAGTTCCTGGTATGCAGCATCTGAGGTGATGCACAGCTGGTGTTTAAATGGGATACCAGTGGCAGGAATGTTGCAAAATCCTGGCAGCAGCAAGCACTTCTGCCTTTGCCGCCATGTCATTCCATTAGACAAGTGCCATAGACCCCAGGGGTATAATTGATATGTTTGGGTGAGAAAAAGTTGCCACGGTACAAGGTGGGCCATGTGTCATGAACCTCATTTGACATAACACATAGCTAAAAAAAAGGGAAAATTCAGCCTTAGGTCTCATTCAAGATAAATAAATAAACACATTTCAATGCAGTTGCAATTTGCACTGAGGTCCTCAGTCCTTTGAAGACATGGTATATTACGATGCTAAAGTAACACCTAATGTTGTCATTACAATAAAGAGAAAGATAGAGGAATGATTTAATTAACATTTCACTTTTTTAATCACATATTGTGGGCAGCATGGTGGCATAGTAATTAGCACTGCTGCGTCACAGCACCAGGGACCTGGGTTCAAATCCAGACTTGAGTTTACACATTCTCCTGTCTGCATGGGTTTCCTCTGGTTGCTCCAGTTTCCTCCCACAGTCCAAAGATGCGCAGTTTAGGTGGATTGGACAAGCTAAAATGTCCACAGATGTGCAGACTAGATGGATTAGCCATGGGAAATGCAGGGTTACAGGGATAGGAGTAGGGAGGTCAGAATGGGATACTCTTTGGAGGATCTGTGCAAACTTGATGGGCCAAATGGCCTGCTTCCGCCCTGTAGGGATTCTATGATTCCATGGTATTCTTACAATTTCAAATATATCTGAAGCAGTGTGAACTTCATGGATTTTTGGCTGGTTGACCGTACATACAAATTCTAAAAGAAAAGAAGCAAAAGTTGTTTTATATCCTGTAATTCAGTTTGACTTACTCTCTTGCTGTATAACTGGTTCATATGAAAGAATGCAGTCCTCTGGGCTCCCTAATTGCAGAAAGAAACAAAATATCTCAAAGAAAAATTCTTTATTCCAGTTCTTATTAAATAAAAGTTTACTCACTCATAACTTTAATACAGTGTTTGTTCAGTATAAAGGATACCAAATATTGAAAGCCAAAAGTGGAATGCTGTTTGGAGGGTCATTGCGGACCCAATGGGCCAAATGGCCTGCTTCCACACTGTACGAATTCTATGATTCTCTGATTCTAAGATTTTAATAGAACATTTTGAGCTCAGAGGATTCATTTTTCTAAAATTTACTATTTGACTTTCAAATAAATAAACAATTGTATAATTGTTGGTAATGTGTTTTTAATTTTTGCTTATAATAAATTCCATTGCAAACCATGAAAATGGTCTGTCGCTTTCCAATTACTCTTGAAAAGCTTAAGAAGGAAGACAGACAGTGTTTATTCTAAAGCAAATGGCTATTTGACAAACTAGAAGACATGTGAATTGCGAGTTAAATGAAATAAGCATCAAAAATCAACTTTAAAAGAACTTAAATTTACAACAATTAGCTCCAAACGTAAAAGCATGTATTAAAGAGAATAAAATTGAATGTAAATTATTTTATACAAAATCAAGTGTGGCATTATTTGGTTTCATTTGTCTCAGAAGTTTCAGATCCAATATTTATTTCTTGAATGGATACCATAGAACAGAATAGTGTACATAATGGATACTACATAATATTACATTATATTGAGCTTTAATAAATTATTATAATCAAAGTATACATTAAAACTCGTGCAGTAAGCAAAAAAGCTGGAAATAATATGGTACTCAAAAAAATAAAATGAACTTACTGTAGCTACTTTCACTATCGCTGGCATTAGAAGTAACATGTTCTGCAATAACAATATAGCAAATTAGGAAGATTCAAAAAAAGTGCCACATAGCTGTGTCAACATATATAGGCTTTAAAAATGGAACTGTACACATGCTGCATAACAGAAATGTACCATTAAAACACAAAGTAGCTTATATTGAGAAATAGCATTTAAAACAGCAGCAGTAATTGTTTGAGGGACAGGGAGAAAGTGCAAAAGGGACTGGGGAGTAATGCAGACTCCTGGATAGAACGATGGTGTTGTGCATCCCAGCAGCACAAGCACAAATTTATTATAATAAAATAAACAATGGATGTTGTCAAGACAGAAAAGAATATTCTAATAGGTGATTAGATAGTAATTTGCGCGCTTCAATTGATCATGCAGAAACAAAAGAAACTAAAACATTTGGGACATTCATATTGGTTTTCTACTAAAGCTCAATTTTTACATGCTGGGACTCTCCTTGGGATATATGCAAAAAAAATAATAATTATATAGTGGCATGTCATTGTGGTCATTCTTCAAAACTTACTCAGAGTCTTTGTTCCATAACCATCGTCGGCTAACCCGGGGATCTCCTGCACAGTAGTCCCCAGACAGCAAGCAAAGACAGGAAGAATAACCGCAGAAGAGGAAGGAAGAAGTCAGTGGATTTGAACTAAATACTACCATGACAGACCATGCAGATAAGCCAATCAGGAGCCCAGTGGTTTTTACATGACACTGTGGCATTACCATACTTGTTTGAGACTTTTTTGCCTGAATTAATACATACCAAAATGGTGCAATTCAAAGACAGTATCCCTTTAGCTCCAAAAGCAAATTGTATTTCATATTGAACAATAAACAGACAGGTTGACATTGTCTCCTGAGGTAATAAAATCTAGTTTTAATATTTGAGCAGGATTGCAGTTAAATAAAAGATGAACATGGTATTGTAGCAGATAAAAGGCACTTGTACAATTCAGGGGTACATTAGAAAAATTCCAAAATCAAAAGTGTATCTATTACATTAACAATGTAAGCAATCTTTTGTCTTGAACAGTGTGGAATATTATTTAATTCTTGGCCAGATTTGTGTTTATTTCGAAATACAAAATACTTAAGTTGAAAGAAAAGGGACACGGTCTCTACCTCTCTCGAACAACTCCTTTTTATACCTGTTTATAAAAAGGTCTACTTTAAAAGAGTAATAATATGATGGGATCCAGATTGCTGTCACACATTGGTCACAGTAGTATAGCTTCACCCTGCCTTTGTGTACACATGGTTGTGAGCACTGAGAGCTATGCTGTCTCTTAGTCCTACTTACGTTCTGGATCACTGGTATCCTGCTCATTGTGGTCCTTGTTCTTGTAGAATGGGAATTTTCGTGAAAAGATGAGGTTCTTTTTACGCTTGTCATTGAATGACTGTGAAGGAGAAAAGGCATGGGGCAAACAGGGACAACTACAGTAAGTGCTGTCGTACTCATGCTGACAAACCCACAGGTTGTAAAAGTAGAAGTAACAGCAGTGACTCACACTCACAAGACATGATACATCAGCCAAATCAAACTTATGGCTGGCTAATTTTTGTAGAAATTCATCTTCTAGGAAATTTCAAATATTTCTTTAGCCTAAAGTTTGGTGATTATTTTTGGTCCATGCCAAACATTTGCATTACTGGTGTCTATATAGGCCCTGACATGCAGAAATTGGTGATAATCACCTAGCACTACGTCTGGCACAGTCTACTTAAAAATAGCCAACATTGTTACTGGAATGCAGGGCATAGATGCAATGAGTGGTACGCTTAGTATTTATAGATATACATGCAGTTAGCTGTGCTTATATATAAAATTGTGCCTCAAGAATCAGTTATGTTGGAATGATTATCTAATTTGATGTTCTAGAGTAAAATTGGGATTGCAAAATAGAAACTGCCCAATCCACATTTTGAATGATTTCATGTAGACTTATACAATGAGTGGCCATTTGCAGTGCTTTAGTCTCTATCGTCTCCACAATAATGTAAGACCAAGAGAAGGAACATGGGCTTTGTTGGAGATGTGCTATTTTATATGCATTTTATCTCTTACACTAAAAATACCATAAATTTAAGTATTTGAGGTATTTGCCAAACTTTCCATCTTAAATCACTTGGTAGATTATCTTAAATCGCATGCTCAGCTACATTATCTGACTAATGGTAGCCCAAACCTTGATCGCTGGTGATTACATGCATTGAAGCATAATCACACTTCAGGGAATTTAGCTCTACAAGGCCAAAAAAAATTTAAAGGATTCCAAAAATTTAAGTAATTCCTAATATAAAGATGTGAACCTAATAATATATACCTTTGTCACTGCTATTTCCCTCCACTTTTACATCTGAACAGTAATTCAACATTTGTTCAGAAATAAAGGGTGATTTAAAAAAAAGAAATATTCTGAACAAAAGACATTGGGCTTGATTTAATAATCTCATATATGTCACTTTATATCAGAGCTTGTTGTGATGATATTTATTGGCATCTGAAAAATCAAATATTAATATTTATAAAGTATAGCATTTTTGTCAGGTCCAACTTTATGCTCGGATTTACTTTCAAGGATGCTTGTAGTGAATCCTGAGGCCATCATTCCTCATTGATGTTTTTGTATATTTTGTCACACAATCTTGCTTTACTTTTAGGATATCACAAATTTTCAAATGCCAATATTACTTTTAAGTGGTGTTAGACAGGAGAGGGTGAATGCTGAAGAAGGGGAAATACAACTTAGTTTAAGGATGGTTTTACTCATGTTAAGAAAGCTAAATTTTGGGCACATAGTGGATTACATAAATTTTGATGCAAAAGAAAATGCGAAATTATAACACATATCAGTTACACATATCAGTTAAACAAAGATTATGGTGTATTCAGTGCAAAAAGTGGCAAACCATCTTTGTTTGATGATGTTGGATGAGAATAGTTGGGCTTTTTGTTATACTCAAATCATCAGCGCTAATATATGCCATGATTATCCTTCATCAACGGTGCTATCATATATTAAATCGGGCCCACCACAAGGACATGTTTAAAAGAAGACAAAGTATGCTATTTAACATTATGTTATGAAACAATACACAAAGCATGCAACGTGGGGAATGTAGCAAGACGGGAACATTAAAATGTTTGGCTGAAATAATAAAACTGCTGTTATAACAACTTTTCAGATTCATGCAATTTACATATGACATGTAATTTTCTCATTAAATGGGAGATCAAAAACATGAGATACAACATAAATGTAAATGTTTTCTGCATTCCATGTGTTTGGGTCGGTGATAATAGTTAATAATATCCATTTGCTTTTTTAAAAATCAAGTTGTAAGGAACGATACGCATTTTATCTCAGAACAGAACAGCAGCTCAACATGACTAAGCACAATTTTCTAAACATAAATGAAAAGAATAAATGTCTATCACGACATAAAAAATGACCCATATATTTTGTATCACCTGCTACATTATGGTAACCTTTATTAGTAATGAGCATACTAGTAAATACATTTGATCTCCAGTTGTCTATCACATTTTCACTTTCTTTTTTCTGGCTTCTTTTTCCATTAATTTTTTTGTCCCAGAAGGCACTATTTCCTTGTTAAGAAGTGATTCCATGGCACCCCACTTGACCATTTGGAATCAACTAAGTCAGCATTAAACAGGGATCAAACTTGTTCTCATGATGGATAAATTCAGTGAACCATCAGTTAATGATCATATCTGTCAACGTTTCAATGGTATGGTTTGGGAGATAGATTTCATTTGAAATTGTTGAAAAACAAGTTTGCTTTAAAAGCCTGAAGTTACCATAACTTAGAATACATAACTATAAATAGTACATTTTATATAAAGCGAGTGATGTTCAGGTGATCAAATCAAAGCAGTTGCATTGATGTTGATTGAAAATAATTTTCTAGACATTTTTGTCCCATAAATCTTTAAGCAGTTTAAATTCGTGCATTTGTTTTTAGAGATGAAAAGTGGAAAGTGTTTCAATTTACTATCAAATTGAGTATTACAAGCACAACACCTTCATCTTTATCCCACATTTACAGCATAGAATACTTTCTTATAATTCAGGCTGAAGTGAAATTACTCTAACCATTAGACAGGCAGGAATTTTGATTAATTGCAAAGCTAGAAATTAAACTATCATCATGCTATTGAAGATCACAATAAACATCTGAGACGAAGTATTTCTTTAATCCAACATACTGAAGTAAACAGCTATGTGAAGAGGTTTCTCTTGTGATTTGAGAGCACAAGAATGAACTTTTGAAGAATATGATGTGGAGGTGCTGGTGTTAGACTGAGGTGGACAAAGTCAGAAGTCATTTAACACCAGATTATAGTCCAACAGGTTTATTTGGATCACACAAGCTTTTGGAGCCCCTTTGTCAGGTGCAATGACAGAGCAGGGCACACAGACACAGAGTTTGTAGGCAGAGAGATCAAAGGATTATACGACTGGTATGAGTGGATTGTCAGATAATAAGTCTCTGCAGGTGACCAAGACTGATGGACGGTGTGTAAAGTGTTTATAAAGTCAATGTTGGTGCTGTGCTGTCATGACAATCAGGCAGAACCTTAGGAATATACAAAAGGTGACATTTCAGGTCAGGCACTGAATTGTAGGCATGAGACTTTGTTTGGAATCTGTCTCAGAGTTTTAACCTGGAATCAAGCTGGTTTTATGCCAAAAGCTAGAATTTATAAAATGCCACACTGGCTATGACTACAAATTGTGAGATTTTTGAACACAATAGAATGTATTTGCAAATCAGCAAACATCTTGGATGAGATGATTCACCCAATAGAATTGTGTGTGCGTGTGCATGTGGGTGTGTGTTTGTGTGTGTGTATGTTTGTACGTGTGTGTGTGTGAGACAGAGAGAGAGTGAGGGTGAGAGACAGAGTGTGTGTGCGCGAGTGTGTGTCTGTAGGTGTGCTTGAGTGTGTGTGTGAGAGAAAGAGTGTGTGTGCATGTGTATATGCTTGAGAGTGTGTGTGAGTGTGAGAGAGTATGAGCGTGTGTGCGCACGCGTTTGTGAGAGAGTGTAATAAACAGTTCAAAACTGTACAAACTAATTAAGGTAGCGAGATCATAACAATTTATCAAGGTAATGCTGTCAAAACAGGCAAGTAAGGAAGATCTTACAGATACAAAACAGTGTGATGGGGCCACCTGTTGTGCGACATGAACTCAAGATGGCAGTTGGGGCCGTCTTCATGGGTACGAAACTTGGCTCTGCTCACTGATTCTGCATTGTTGTCTATCTGGAGTCCACCTTGGAGGATGCTTACCTGAAGATCGGAGGCTAAATGTCCTTAACTGCTGAAATATTCCCCTACTAGGGGGTAATATTCCTGTCTGGCGATTGTTGGGCGGTGTCCGTTCATCCATTGTCGTAGTATCTGCATGGTCTCGCTGATATACCATGCCTGCATCCTTGCCTGCAACCTATGAGATAGACAACGTTGGCCGAGTCTCATGAGTATCTGCCGTAGACATGGTGGGTGGTGTTCCCACGTGTGATAGTGGTATCCAAGTCAATGATCTGACATGTCTTGCAGAGGTTGGTGTGGTGGTGTGGTCAATGTTGTCCTGATGGCCGGGTAGTTTGCTGCAAACAATGGACTGTTTAAGGTTTGGCAGCTGTTTGAAGGCGAGAAGTGGAAGCGTAGGGAAGATCTTGGCGAGATGTTCATCTTTGTCAATGACATGTTGAAGGCTGTGAAGAACATGGTGTAATTTCTATCGGTCGTATCCTGTGTCTGTCTTCTGAAGAGATCGTTGTGGTTTTTCGCTGTGGCACGTCAGAACTGTCGATTGATGAGTTGAGCATCCGTATCCTGTTTTTGTGAGAGCATCTTTCAAAACATACAGGTGTCCGTCGCATTCCTCCTCAACTGAGCAGATCCTGTGTATGCACAGGGCCTTTCCATAAGGGATGGCTTCTTTAATATGTTTAGTGTAGAAGCTAGAGAAGTGCAGCATCATGAGGTCATCAGTGGCTTACGTGTGGGTGAGGTACTGAGGTGTCCATCCTTGATGAAGATGCGTGTGTCCAAGAAGAAACTGATTGTGAAGAGCAGTCCTTGGTAAATCTGATGGTGGGATGAAACTTGTTAATTGGCTATGTAGTCGTTTTGGTGATTCCTTGCCATGAGTCTAAAGGAGGAAAATGTGATCAATGTGTCTGGTGTACAGCACTGGTCAGAGGTCCTGCGCAGCAAAAACGTCTTGCTGGAACCTGTGCATGAACACGTTGGCATATTGGGATGCAACTTTGGTCCCTATCGCTGTTCTGTGTATCGAAGTGTATCTGGTGTATCTGTGTATCTGGTTTTCGAAGGTGAAGGCATTGTGTCAAGGATGAA